CCCCCCCCCCCCCCCCCCCTTCGTCCCATGGGAGTCCTTTGACGCTTTTCTTTTTTGCTGACACATATACAACCCATCCCCCACCTCTCAGGGCCTATTTCCTCCTTCAAAAGGTCGTCTGCTCGACTAGTGGTCTCGTCCGGACTAGCCTATCTTCCCCCCTTCTTTCGCTCTGAGAGATATCATACCAGAACTCAGTATCAATGTGCAAGGTTCATGGTAGCTCCATTTTATGCCAGTGTTTTCATTCTTCATTCGCCTCTAGTGTCTAGACCCACGATGCATATATCATTAACCGGAACAAAGAATCTATGTTGTTTATAAGCCACTTTTTCATGCCTCGACGTATCGATGTTGCAAAGTCGACACGTCCCAAAACACAGGTGGTGAGCGCTCTGCCGAATCAGGCAGCCTCGACTCCCAGGCCAAACATTTTGACCGAATTGTTCCAAGCACTGACATGGCAAAATGAGTATGACCCCACGCGTGAGAGGGTATAGGGCACTTACGCTTCGCAAACCTCTTCCACGGAAATACCCTTGACCTTCGCGATTACATGGGCGACATGGATGATGGCGGCAGGTTCATTCCTCCCCTTGACCATGCAGCCTTTCTGCCATTTCTCCTTCTTAACGGCCTTTGGCAACGCCGGGGCGTCATCCAAATATTTGGCTGAAGCATGGGACGGGCGAATCTCACACTATAGAACACTGGTTAGCGAAAGAGGTGTGTCTAAGCACAACGTGAACAGTCTGCCATACCCATGGCCCGTCAGTCTCGATCTGGAGTCGGTCCAACGGGATTGCTTTGACTACTTCCAGGTTCTCCTCCGTCTTCATGCTGCATCCATTCACCCCAATGTCGAGACCCAGATCCACCAGCCGTTGCATTTCCTCCAGCGTTCCTGTGAAACTGTGGACGAGTCCCTTCTTGGGAAGCTTCTCGAGCCTTGGTGCTAGGAGCCTTTCAAAGTCCTCGCTGGCTGCTCGAGAGTGCAGGAAAAGCGGAAGCTGAATCTCGATGGCCAGGTCCAGTTGTGCTTCGAAATATTTAAGCTGCTGTTCCTTGCCGCTCAAAAATAAGCGGTCATAGTCGAGTCCGATCTCGCCGAAGGCCACCGCAAGGCCGGCCTCCTTCGACTTCAGCGCCAGCTCTTTGAGTTGCTCGAGCATTTTCGAGGGCCCCCCTGGAAAGCTATCGAAAAGCTTTGCCTGACATGGGTGAACCCCGACGGTGGCATAGCAAAAGCCCGCTATAGGCTCAGAATGTCAGGCGGCGAGACTTCAAAAGATGAGGCACGGAGACATACGATATTCACGGGCAAGTTGTACAGCATGCTTTGATTCCTCCAAATCAGAGCCTGTCACCATGAACTTTTCGCACCCGACATTGCGGGCACGCTCTATAATGTCCGCCAAGTCGTCTTCATGGACTTGTTTTCCGTTATAGTTTCCTCGAAACACCGGATCACCCAGGTTGATGCCAATCTGAAGGAGATCCGTATCAGTTGTACAGACCGTGAAAGATATCCAGCTATATCTTGCAGACCTACATCGATATATCTCAGTTGCTTATTTTCTTCCCCCATCTTGGAGGCTGATGAGCGGTTTGGCGAAAGCTGCGAGAAGAAAAACGCTTGGTTACTCCAGCTCTTATTAGGACCTTTAAACTGCAGAGAAGGAATTCTACAGGAGAACACTGTGTCTGCGTGAGTCACCTTCCAAACCCAGCAAAAGGCAGCCTGCGAATGAGTCGACCCATACCTCCTCCAGGAAATGACGTCCTCCGCGGGGAAGGTGTGAAAAAGGGAAATTTTAAGTTTAGACACTTCAGTCTGGAAGTCGCACCAAGTTGCAGAATGCGCCCCTCTAGCACCGCTGCAGGCATCAGAAAGAGAGGCTTCAGGCTGGTTACATGGATGTACTATGTACGCAGCTTTGCCTGTGGCAGGAGCACTTCTGCTAATACTCCGTACAAACTAGCAGATGAGACTGTGGCTGTTCAGGCACATTCTACAGAATACAGCCACATTGTATGGCGGTGCATCATTGTCACGTGACATGTCTGACACTGGCCAAAGACGCGGGAAGAAAGCCGAGTCAGGGTCGGCACACCACCGACCTCCGCAGCGGAAAAGACACGCCAGCGTAACTTTTCGGGGAAGGAAGACCCGAGGAACACGCCCCCAGAGCTAAGAGACCCGGGGTACAACCCCGAAGGTCTGCAAGGCGATCGGATCTATCGAATTGAAAGCCGGCAAAAAGTAATAATAAATCACAGGTAGCAGCGAACTTGTCCGAGTTCTAGAAAAGCCAGGCATCGTCTTGTAGCGAGACGTGTACAGTACGCTTATAACTGTCTCTGAGAGACTCGAGGACTTCTGTCAATTCTTCAGTGCGGGGACGCTGCGGAGTACATCTGTCGAGGAAAATCAGGACTCGCACATCAGAGCTTCTCCAACGTCCTTGCATTCGTTTACTTTCTGTGAGAGCACAATGGGTGGCACCAAGCTCTCCGCACAGGAGATATCACGGCACAATACTCCTACCGACTGCTGGATTGTCGTTGACGGCCAGGTCTGGGATGTGACGGACTTTCATGAACAGCATCCAGGCGGCTCAGCAAGTAAGGATAAGGCCCAGCTCTGCTTATAAAGATCAAAGCTAACAATCCGTGTGCTGCCTGCCAGTTATCTTGAAGTACGCTGGTCGTGATGCAACGAAAGCGTATTCCGAAGTCCACTCGCCCAAGGTGTTGAGAGACAACCTGCAGCCGGACAAGTTCAAGGGTGTCCTCGATCAGTCGACTGTCGACGAAGAATGGGCGAAACAGCCACCGACGGAGAACCCTCATGTGGCCCTGGACAACGAAAAGCCGCCGCTGCACACCCTCATCAATGCTCACGACTTTGAAATGGTCGCCTCCAAGACCGCACCCAAGAAGACCTGGGCGTTCTACTCCAGTGCGGCGACGGATCTCATTACACGAGACGCAAACAAATCATGCTTTGATCGAATATGGTTCCGACCTCGCGTGCTGAGAAATGTGCGCGATGTCGATACTCGAACCACGATCTTGGGCGTCGACAGCCGCCTTCCGCTGTTTGTGAGCCCTGCGGCGATGGCCAAATTAATCCATCCCGACGGCGAGTGCGCTATTGCTAGGGCCTGTGAGAGCAAAGGGATCATGCAAGGAGTACGTATCGTCAGAGAGCGCGAAAATATTCCATTTAAGGAAAGCTGACGGGTGAGCTTCAGGTATCAAACAATTCTTCGTATTCGATTGAAGAACTGGTCCAGGCGGCACCGAAAGGCAATTTCTTCTTCCAGTTGTATGTGAACAGGGACCGAGAGAAGTCCGCTGAGCTGCTCCACAAAATTTCGGCCATCCCGAATGTCAAAGCGGTGTTTGTCACGGTGGACGCAGCGTGGCCTGGCAAGCGGGAGGCCGATGAACGTGTCAAGGCGGATGAGTCTGTGTCGGTGCCCATGGCGCCGGCAAGAGTAACTAACGACAAGAAGGGAGGCGGTTACGGACGGGTGATGGCTGGGTTTATCGATCCTGGCTTGACATGGGACGACCTGGCTTGGATACGGCAGCACACCCACCTGCCTCTGTGCCTCAAGGGAGTGATGTCTGCCGATGATGCCATCCTGGCGATGCAGGCAGGTGTGGATGGCATTCTCCTCAGCAATCATGGTGGCCGCAACCTCGATACTAGCCCTCCGTCTATTATTACTCTGCTGGAGCTCCACAAGCGGTGCCCGGAGATCTTCGACAAGATGGAGATCTACGTGGACAGCGGCATTCGGCGTGGAACTGACATCCTCAAGGCCGTTTGTCTTGGGGCCACTGCGGTGGGCATTGGCCGCAGCGCGCTCTATGCCACGAACTATGGCCAAGAAGGTGTTGAGCATCTGATAGACAGTAAGAGGCCCCCATCATGCCGAGGCTTTTTTTCGCGGGCGATCACCCGCAGGAAATAATCCATAGGCTAACGACCATTCCAATCATAGTCATGCAAGACGAACTTGAAACAGCGATGAGAAACACCGGCATCACAAGTCTTGAGCAAGCCTGCCCGGAGCTCGTGCACACCGGAGATGTGGACCATCTGGTTCCGGCATCGCGGCAGCACCCGTACGCCAGAGCGGTTGCAAAGAACCGTCGACAGAATCGGGCCTCGAAACTGTGAGCCTGGAGTGGGCCTACGCTAAGCTCGATGATCTGCTCGGGCTATCCGCTGTGCCTGCATGAAATTTCCGATGTGAAGTGGGAGAGTATTATTCTGGATGTACGTGCTCCTTCCACGTGAGCCCTTGGTTCGCGTTCATAGCCCAGCCGATATGCGATACGAGATACGATCCGGAATATTCCGTTATGATCGACGATCGCCTATGTGCCGGCAAAACCGCACTAGATGTACAGAGTTTTGAGAGAATCTTGGATAACTTTGGAAATTTTGCTGTATATCTTTATCTGATCTTCGATGAAATCTAGCAGGCAATCTGCATTCGACTGAGTAGAAGCCGATGGCCCGTTCTATATGCCGGGGTATGATGATAAGCGGTTGGGCAATGCTGAGGAGTCAATTCCATCCAGTTAAGGACCGTGCTGATGCAGCATCTATGATGATGGACCAGTGAACCTTGCACCAATATTTGAGTACTTCGTACGGAGTGCTTGAGTGGACTGCGCTCTACTCCGTATCAAGCCGGATGCCCGTCGTGTAAAGTGTTACGTAACCATAGCGGGATTCCGCGACACCATCGCACAGCAGACTGTTCCAGCTGCCAAATCACGAGACGATGAGGATGGACGATTACAAAGCAAGCCCTTCTCTTACTGTAGGGAGTAATTACCCCGTCCAAGGCGACGGAGGAATGGATACGCCATGCGGAGATTGCCCTGGACAAAAGCGACGAGGGACTCTGGAGAAGGTTCTGGTCTCCACCGACGAAGATCCCGTGATCGACATCTCCGACGGGCAGCCAGCAGAATTTCCTCCTCACCGCTTCCTTTTGTGTCGCAGCCACAGCCTCTTCTCATTCGCCCGCCGGCTTCTCAGGGAACGCCCGTGACAGGCAGAGCAGAGTCGATGATGCAGCATCCTTGTTCATCCTTCCGGCCTTCCCCGCACCCATACTCAAGCCACTCCTCGTCGATGATTCAACGAGCACGAGTCCAAATTGCGGTGGAGAAGAGGGGCGAGGCCTGCGATGCAGCGATCAGACGGCGATGGTGAGGCAGACAGCGACTCTGAATGATCGCTGCGTATGCAGTCTTACGCATAGTCAGGAGTTATTCTAGATACTATGCCCTACGGCCGGAGCACGAGGTTAGACTCCGGTGAGACGATCGAATCCCTGCCCAGCGGGCTGGAATGCCTACTGCCGCATGGCCATGCTGCCATTGGGTGCTTGTGGGTTGCGATCCGGAGCAGGGGCCTCTGGCCTGGGCTACCATGGATGCACTCCCATGAGGAGTGGCGCAGACATTACTGTCCTGTACACTCTCGCCTGGAAGACCGGGCCTGGAGAACACGCGAGACAGCTCATAAATATCCGACAGACCCCGGCCCCTCTTTGTTCGTCGTAAGGCGTCTGACAATAGTCCACTCCGTACATTCTCTCCAGCCTGCTTCACCACTGCTGCCAAGAGTCTTGTCTCGTAAGCGTTGCACTGCGACAGAGGTCCATTATTTGAGATTTCAAGAATTCACTGCTTGCTGACCTGCTCGCCCTCACGCCCAGCATTGGCGAATCACGGGGCCCACCGGGCAGGATCGATAGCTCGCCCGCCGAGACCGTCGGCGCTCCTTGTAGACGCGCCCTCAACAGTCTTGCCAATCGCCCGATAGCTCCCCCCAACGTTTGCCGCAAACAGCAATCTGCTTGCTGACGACGCCTCGTCTGTCGCTTATCCCTACGATTCCTAAGACAGGCCTGGCCCCAATTGGCGGCTCCGCCTGAATTCCGCGCCTTTTCTTTACTTCTAGCTCCTGTCTGTGTCTATTCTTATTTTACCGTCTGTCTCGCAGGTTCGTCCACGCCTTTTCCTTTCCCCGATTTTGCAACTCTTCAGTCTCATCGTCGTTACTTGCATACCTGCATACTTACAACAGCACAAGGCTACCCGACTCGATCCCTTCCGTTGATCAAGCAGACGTCTGACTCATTCACCACCAATGGCCGCTCCTCGATCCACCTCGTTGCGAGCTCTGCGTGCTCTGTCGCAGCAGAGCCCGTCTGCGACCACGCTGTACTGCCGTCGTCGCTTGCACATCACTGGCGCCTTCTCTGCGCAGCCGGCCAACAGCTCGGACAAGACCACTCTGTACGCCTCCCGCACCCTTGCGGACCTCAAACTGGAATGCGAGCGACGGGCTCTGAGGACGTCCGGGACGAAATCGGAGGTGCGTAAACCCTCAATCAGCTTGCTCATTTCTTCCGGACAGGAATCGTTCTGACTGCGTCGATGGATCAGCTCATTGAACGGCTGTCCAACCACGACCTGCTCCAGTCTCGCGCCTTCAGCATTGCCATGAAGCGGATCGACGGGAATGCGTTTGGGGGGTATGTAGCGCTGTCTTGCCCTCGTTCTGGGTCGATCAGAAGCTGACATTCTGCACAGGCAGTCGAAGAGCCGCCAATTCAACACGTCCCGCGCGAACAAGGCGGTAAAAGACTCGTCGACGATGGACTTTGTCTACATGCCGTCGATGGCCTCGCTGGAAGGGCCGGAAACCAACTCATATCCTCGCATTCCCCTCGTCTCTGACGCATATTCCACCTCGCCAATGAAGCCTCAGATCCACGCTGTCTCCGAGCTTGCGTCCGACACGTCGGCCAGCCCGATGAGCGAGGTGGTCGACAATCACTCCGTGGAGATTGATCCTTTCAGACTCACGGAGACGGTGGGGCGGTCCCGGGATGGTGAGAACCAGCAGAAGCTGGCCGCCAACCAGCGGGAAAAGGGCGTGATCGGGGAGTTGTGGAGTGGGTTTCTCGAGGATCTGTTAGGGCCGAAGGGGAACAGTAGTAGTTCGCTCAAAAAGTGAGCCCTTTTTTTTTATTCTTTTGTGTTCATTATTATTGTTGTCCTACGAACATTTGTAATTTTCTCGATCCAGTCTTGCTTTCTGCTTTCTGAAATGCAGGCGATTCGGTCTGAGTATTATTTTTATCAATCCAACCTTTTTGTCGGGTTGGTTTCTTTTCTTTTCTCCATGTTTTACGTCTGACGGTTTACGGCCTCACGAACTGAACGAGTACACGACGCTGTCTGCTCTGGGAGTCGGGTTGGAGCATTCATTCTATGCATGCTCTCTATCATTAGCCTCGGCAGGTCGTCGAGTCATGACTACCAGTTGCCAGCTGATTCAGCTGATTGATTGACTGATATTTTATGTCATCAAATCTTTTCTCGATTTAACCAGCAACAATTCCTTTCGTGTGCAGTATTGTTACGGTATCAGGACATACATAGGAATCTTGATAATATCAAGATGGATGAGTTTTCGGGGCCCTTCAAGGTCGTTATTATGAATAATCACCTATTAGCACTATTTTAGTACTGGCATTGGCATATACTACCTACTTAGCCCTAAGCTACCTAGATAGGTAAGTACCTACTGACTGGAAGTTCCATCCATATTGCGGTAGCACCCTTGTACTGTACATACACAATATGTGGACTCCTGTACTAGTCAGTCTGCAAACTGCCTGTCTCTCAGTAGTCTACTGAGCATTAATTAATGTCAGCCTGCACATCATGGGCATTAATTATTAGTTCACTATTCTCTAGTTCTGATGCTGTGTGGCTGTCGCATTCTGCTTTGCTCTGCTCTGCTCTACTTCCAGACTCATACTGCAAAAAGCATGCATCTAAGACAAAGCAAAGCGAAAGACAAGGAAGAGAGATATCAAATCCATCCACCAAAGAAAAAAAAAGGAGCCTGAGGTTGACACACACGCGCCAGATATATTTTTTTTCTTTATATCATACACCTATCCTACTTTTTTACCTAAGTCATTCATTTGTAGATCGCTCAACTCAACGTCTTCCAATGTCGCATTGTGTGACAGTGACAAATCATCATTATCATCAAGGTCCAAAAGCTCCATCCAGCCAGCCTCCATCTGGTCTACAACTGGACCAGGTGGCTATTACTGACTATTGAAGTTGTCTTACTTTTCAGCTTCTTAATACAGAGTATAATTAACAGTTAATCAGATTAATAATTGGGTAATGGTTCGCTACTCTTTCTTTCTTCCTTCCTTCCTCTTTCCGTATAGAACCTGGAATGTATACTGTATATATACTCCGTACATATGATATGATATGTGTTATTAATACTCCTCTCTTATTGGGCAGTATCTTCATAAGACTGAAACGTGGCTCGAGATCACCTCCAGCTCAGTTGACCAAGCGCCCTCCCTGATGATGATTGGTCTAGATTGATGTGTTGTCTTCTCGACAATGGTAATGCCTAGCTTTGAGCGTTTTTCTTTATCATCATGCCTGTCGCGGAGGTGACGCGTCGCTCGATGGGCTGGCTGGCTCTAACTATTTTTATTGTTATTTATGCATGCTGCAGTTATACCTTTGTATGTATGTATGTGGTGTACAGTACATGTCATAATTGCAGAAATACACATACATGCAGAGGTATTCGAGTGTCGCGTGCGATATGTCTTTGTCACTACTGTTATTGTCCAGTAAAATATCTCCGGTTGGTTTGCGTTTTGTAGTGGAAAATCTTGTCGTTCTTAAACATGGCTCTTGCTAATAATGGCGCTGATATGCTAGTCCTGTTTGTTTGCGGAGCGCGTTAGCGCGAAGCAATATATAACGGTCTGCGCGAAACCCCCCCCCCCCTTTCCTTCCTTTGATCTGATTGGTAGAAATTCATCACGTGAGAGCAACTCTCTGCTTTATGATTGGTTAGTAGTATTCTATCATCTGATTGGTCTATATAAAGCTAAATCACATGATTCTGGTTACACTACTACCTCCTTCCTTACCTCCTATAGGGGAGCCCACTTACAAGCCTACCTACAAGCCAACTTATGAGCCTACCTATAGGCCTATGAGCCTACGAGCCTACAAGCCTACGAGCCTACCTATGAGCCTATAGGGGAGCCCATATAGACCCTATAAGAGAGCCCATCTAGAGCCTACAAAAGAGCCTATAGGAGCCTATATAAAGCCCATACAGAGCAAATACAGAGCCTGTAGGGGAACCCGTGCTGTACATATAGGGAGCCAACATGAACCCTGTAGGGTAGCCCATACGAAGCCTACACGGGGCCTATATGAAGCCTCTATGAAGCCTATATGAAGCCTATAGAGGAGCCTATACTCTGTACTGATTGGCTGGAAGTCATTACTAAGCGTTCCGCAAGGACTTAGGGCCATTTACGCCCTAGGAATGTATTTTCTACTCCTGCAATTGTGTGTACAAAATAATGCATATACTGAGTACTCTGTATGCAGGATCTGTACTCCGTACGGAGGTTCCGCTATCAGTGCAGTGCAGCAGCACACATACGGAGTTAGCCCCAAGCAGATCTGCATGCAACGCAGCAACATCCCAGCCATCACTTCTACTTCCGGTAGATTATGGGGAAGATCAGGTGGTCCAAGCAGAGGGCTAAAAAATCTACCTACTCCGGAAGTACGACTCCAGTACTACCTTGGGCCAATTACCCCTGTCTCGTGATTATGCCAAGTATCGACCCCACGGGAAGCCATGCAGCCGACGGATGGTTGCACTGCAGGACTACTCCGTATTACGAGGACTCTGTACTGTACAGACTGTAGTTTTACAGCATGTACAGGTATACAGATGAGATACGGAGTTTGGTGCATAGGCATAATTGACAAGTTGCATGCTTATACATGGTGTCCTATTTCACAATATTAAACTGCTTACATGGATGGTACGGAGTAGGTGTAAAAGCAGTGACCTTACCACTTCGGGTTATTGTCCTGAGGCAGCAAGCCTTGGCCTCGAGTGATGTAGGTGTATTCCTAGCCTGGTCTTGGCTCGAGCCTCACCCTTAAGGTTAGTAAATACGCTGGTTAGCTTGACTTACCTCAGTACGGAGTAAACGGTACGAGTACTCTGTGAGTCTGTACAGGTATCTAGTATCTAGTACTTCGTACCTACTCCGTACTTAGGTTCTGTATTACGTGCAGCAGTCTTAACGACAATAACTTTTATTCAATGTAATACAGAGTAATAATCACAACTTCAAAGAACTCTCTACACAGTCAGGGGCTAACCGGCTGGAACAACGGTGGCTTGTGCCAAGGCGCGCACAGGCCAGATCACCAACCCGTTCCTTCCCAGTCCCCCGCCTGGTTCCTTCCCAAGTCGCCAGGTTCATCGGGTCTGGCCAGCACGGTCCACCCGATTGCGCGCCACGGGACGCCTCCTCTCCTTACTTACGTCGCGGGTTCCCGAGTCTCTCTCTTCTAGAAACCTCATTCTGGCGGCTGTGTTTTGTGTCCTTGCCGTTGTTGCTGATATGTTGTTCCTTAATTGTTAATGGTATTATTAATTCTTCATCGAGGTCCATTCCCCATCTGTACATATCCCGACCTCGATCTTTTTCCCTTTCGGCTGTTGAGGGTTGTCTGTCTTTAGTTGTATAGCATCGACCTCTGTCACTCCTTACCACATCCAATTGGAACAATATCAATAGCCTCTATTGATAGGTCCCAATTGAAAGAAAGTTCTGTATCAGTCCTCCCGACGGAATCTGCAATCTGCACCTCGTCAGCCCCGCCACTCACTCAGCCTGCAAGCACCCGTTGCGTTCCGGCATATTTCCAGCCGTTGACTCTCCCATCGCTGGCATCCAACTTGCTGGGAACTCGCCCGATCTTCCTTCTCGTCAAATGAAGCCCGCGGTAGTCCCTGCGAACTAGATCCGCGTCTGGGATCATGTATCTGTCACAATGTGTGCTATCCGCAGTTCTCCTGTCCACAGGTGTCTCGGCCTTCTACCCATATCACTTCAACAGCCAATCGTCTAGCGGGACCTCTGCCATCAATAGGATCACCAGTCGATTCTTCCCGTATAAATTATCGATTGGCTCCGAGGATGGCGGCGCCAACCTTCAAACTTTGCCGCTGAAGAAGGTTCCAAAGCTGGTGCGTACTCTACGCTTCGATTCTGGTCGAGAGCCGTGTCTAACTGGCCCTTACAGAGGCAGCGAGATAACCACTATGCCGTGGTGATGGGAAACGCCCCCACGGTAGCAAACAGCATGGCAATCGACGAAGATGGCCACGACTACTCGTATTTCTCCGTCGTTAATTTCGGTTCGAAGAATAAGGAAATGTGGATGTTGTTGGATACCGGTGGCACCAACACCTGGGTTTTCGGTTCCGACTGCACTGCACAGGCCTGTGAGGTACACAATACCTTTGGAAGCGGTGATTCGACCAGTCTGAAAACGACGGGCACCTCCTTCAACGTCGGTTATGGCACCGGCACCGTCGAAGGAGTTCTGGCGAATGATACTGTGTCCTTTGCTGGGTTCAACCTGCAATTGACTTTTGGCCTGGCCAACAACGCGTCGGACGATTTCTTGAATTACCCTATGGATGGCATCCTCGGGTTAGGGCGATCGGACTCCAGTGCGATCGGCACGCCCACGGTGATGGACGTCATAGCCGACAACAAGTTCTTGAAGTCGAACGTCGTCGGCATTAGCCTGCAGCGCAATTCAGATGGTACCAAGGACGGAGAAATCACGTTTGGTGGTGTCGATACCTCCAAGTTCCGCGGCGACATCGTCTATACCAGCACCATCCCCAATAATGACCGCTGGGAAATCCCCGTCCAGGATGCCGGCGTCGATGGGAAGGCGTGTAATTTCACGGGAAAGTCGGCCATCATCGATACCGGCACTTCCTACATCTTGCTTCCTCCCGCCGATGCGAGTGCCATCCATGCTCTCATCCCCGGATCTTCGCCCGCGGGTGAGAACTTCAACGTGCCATGCAAATCGACCGCGGAGGTGCAATTTACTTTCTCGGGGATCACTTACAGCATTTCTCCCAAGGATTATGTCGGCTCTCCAGACAGTTCGGGCACGACCTGCGTCTCCAATATCGTTGGTGTCCAGACGTTCGGACCGAACGATTGGCTGCTGGGGGATGTGTTCCTGAAGAATGTCTACACGGTGTTCGATTACGACAATAACCGAATTGGCTTCGCTGGCCGTCCTGGTTCCACGGCTCCAACGGGGACTCCTACGACGTCCGCAACGACGGGAACTGTCAGCGGCAACCCAACTGCCGCACCTGCTTCCGAGTCCGGCACAGGCTCTACCAATGCTACCCAAACCAAAGAATCACAAACTTTCAAGAGTGCTGCCACGACTGCCAGAATCGATTCTGGGGTTGCTATCGCTGCCTTGGCCAGTATGCTATGCCTATCTCCCATCGTAAGCTTCCTGTGAAGCTCCAACCAATGGCCCTGCTGGCCTGATTTATTTCTCCACGCGTCAGGGGTTCATGTCCCGTCTTGAAAACGCATGTCCAATCTCTATCGTCATTGCTCTTCGTTCCTTACGTATACCCTAGCACTGCATTCGTTTTCTTCGTCTTGTCCATCCTTATGCTACCTGTACAATTGCCCACATATACGGGCTTCCTGTCACTTGTAATTATTGTGCTTTCGTTCTTGTCTCTTCCGTTGACGAGGTTGTCGTGTGTATCGCGACATCCTATGTAGCTACTATACTTCTGACTTTTATAATTCGCTTTCCGTCTTCCCCATGTACCTTGACTTCATGGTGGTTTTGAGCATCTCGCTGGTGGCATTTGGTCTATCCAAATTTACGGCTGAATGTCAACGGAATGGGGACTTCATATTCTGATCTCATCGCGGAGAAGGCTCTCCGTTGATACTCTGGCGGAAGTTTGAGCTTTCGGTTGAAAAGAGATTTGATTTTGGATATATATACCCTTTTTGTACTCCTGGGTCTAGGCCTTGTTTATTTATAGATACTAGGAAATTCCATGGAATGCAGAAAGAGTTTAGTCCAGCTGTCAAATGCATGTGACTGCACGATCCCAAAATGGAAATCCCAGTCCGTCGCCATCGTCACTTCTCGAAAGTTTGCTCCGCATGGAATCCTCGTCGTTGACCCTTCGTCACAGAGCTTTGTATATTTTGTGTTTGCATCAGATTGCTGACTTTTCAGCAATAAGCGAGTATGACTTTGGGTATGACTCTGCACAATGTCAGCAAGCATTGACACCTGATGTAGTAACGCATGCCGCGCACCGAGAATAGACCGGTCAAAGTCCTTCACGCTGTTGAAACCGCCAACAGCCATGAGAATGTCCAGGTCTGCCAGCAGAGACTTCATGACATGGCGAACGCCCTCCTCGCCCATGATGCTCAGACCCCACACCCACAGCCGGCCGACGAAGACGAACTTGGCGCCCAACGCGAGAGCCTTGACGACGTCGGCGGCGCCCCGGACTCCTGAATCGAACATGATATAGATCTTGTCGCCGACCGCATTGACGATGTTCTCCAGCGCGTCCAGACTGGCGATGGCACCGTCGACCTGTCTCCCTGCATGGTTGCTCACGACGATTCCGTCGACGCCATACTCCACCGCCTTCTTTGCGTCAGCAACGGACTGGATGCCCTTGAGAGCGAACGGCCGTCCTCCCGAGATGCGCTTCCACTCGCGGATCAGCCAGGGGATCTTCTCCCACGACCAGGCGCGTCCGTGCCAGATGCTGTCGATCCACAGCGTGGACGCGGCCACGGGGTCCTTCTTGATATCGATCCCCTTTTCCGCGCAGCGTTTCTGGAAAACAGGGTCTGACAGACCGAGATCCGCCCCGATGCCGCGGTAGAATGCATAGTTGGAGTTGGCGACGTCGTCGTGACGCCAGCCCAGCTGCCAGGTGTCGACGGTGAGGATGAGGGCGTCAAAGCCCGAGTTCCAGGCCCGGTTGAGCAGCGACAGCGTCAGCTCGTCGTCGTGCGGCATATACAGCTGGAAGAAGCGGGGGCCCTTGCCATTGGCCTCTCCGACCTTCTCGATCGGGGTGCTGCCTGCGGTGGAGAGGCAGTACGGCAGGTTGAGCTCGCCCGCCACCTTTGCGACGGGCACTTCGGCCTGGTCGTTGTAGATCTTGTTGATGCCGATGGGGGCAAACCCAATGGGGGCGGAGACCTTGTGGCCCCAGATCTCCGTCGTGGTGTCCCGGAGGTTGGTGTCGACGAGCATGCGCGGGATGATGCGATGGCGGTAGAAGGCTTGACGGTTGGCGAGATGCGTCGTCGACATTCCTGCATTCGAGGAGGCATAGTACCTTTCATTTTGAAGACCGTCAGATAAAGGAGTCCTGGGTGAAGAGGCGGTCATTCTGAAGGAGCATACCATCCTCCTTGGCTCAGCTTCTCACGAGCCTTCTCTTCGAGCGCTTTGGGATCTGTGAGAAACGTGCGTTTGTCTGTTAGCAGGTTCCAAATTGAACCTCGTATATTATATAGATATAACTTACCGGTATTGAACGGGGGCCAGTTGCCCTCGTTCTGTTTCCAGAAGTTCTCCCTCTGGTACAGAGCCCATTGAGGGGTCGACCTTTTCTGGATGTTGGGGTTGGACGGGTCACTCATGATGTCGTTCCTCAATTCAATCGTTGCCTAATTGAGAAGGATGAATAGTAACTAGGTACGGATCTGATGATTGTATTGCCCTGCTCTCCCTTTCTCTCCACGACAGATGGACGATGAACCCCCAATTTATAATTCTTCTCCATATGCAGGATTTGTCATAAGCGCTTACCCTTTACTACAATCCCCTCTTTCTATTTAATTTCACGTGTACACGATGACTTCACTTTGACGCGTCTCCCCCCTCTCTCTCGGTCGAGAGATGCTTGCTTACCTAAGGAGTCAAGCAACTACACACCTACCTTAGGTAGGTACCTAAACATCTGGTGATCTCGGTGCTAGACATACCGGTGGGAAATCCTGTTATCTACTCTACAATCGATGAAGATCATTTCGTTGGCTTGACTGCTTGTGGAAATGCCGGCTGGTCGCCTGCAGCTAGGTGTGTAGGTAACTGGAGCTCTGGAGCTCTGGACCTTGCTGGAGAGAGGCACCTAACTATACCACGCCAAAGTGACGATGGGTCCGTTTATGAATTACATCTTTTTTTCATGTAATATAATACAATCTGTCATTGTTCTGGGGAAATAGAATTGAAGTGGTCGATGTGAAGATAAGAGATTTATCTACCTATCTATTAAATCTATCTATATCGGATGATGTCATAACCCCGGAGACATGCACGTGACATCAACACATGTTCTGCAGGGATTACAACAAGCATGATCAGAGAAAAACAATAACATCATTAGGCATACAACTCAATTCAAGTTGTAACCAGCAAACAACGTGCCGAGTTCCGATGTTCATTCAGACCCGATGTCGATATCCGAGTATCGGGCATGATCGATATCGATATCCGTTGAGAGGACCCGCCGACTAACCCGAAAACAGCGCAGCGCGGGACTACAACCTAGAAAACTGGATGTCATTCGCATGGATTATTAACTCACCTCTTTTCTTGCCAATTATTGTCTCGGTGGCAGGTCAACACGAATGTTCGGCATTGCCAAAGAATCGCGCTGTCCACCTCCACCAGACGCCCTGCGTTTGGGGCCGTGGCCCGCGCAAACACGCTGCTCCTGCGCGACTTCCACGCCAGCCCGCCGGCGGCTGCGTTTCGCCCTGCCTGGATGCCAATGCGCGTCAAGACACCCTGGATCGATGCCCTGACGCAGGCTCGCGAGCAGGCTAAGCAGGGAGAGGGGAAGGCAGCTGCTGAGGCTGCTCCGAAACCAGACCTGACGCCGAGGAGGATGTCTGATAGCTACTTTTCTGCGGTAGGTTGCCCTACCTATATGTAGGTAGTAGCTGGGCTTTTGAGGATGTTCTTGCTGATTAGGGTATGTTCAGGTCCTTCCTCTCGCTCAAGACAAATGGCTTCTAGATACGTATCTCAATGCGTCTGGCCATATTAGGTAAATATCCTGGCTGATACCGTCATGTGTCTTGCCCGTCTAATTTGTCGCAGGTTAGGCTCGCTCCTGATGGATCTCGATGCCATGGCTGGTGTGATTGCGTACCGGCATACTGGCGATGCCGTCACTACGGTGACTGCGGCCGTAGACCGGATTTCGCTCCAGCGCCCGCTCAAAGAGATCTGTGATCTCGAGCTCAGCGGCCAGGTCACCTACGCGACAGGACGATCCAGCATGGAAATCTCCCTCCAGGTTGCCAAAGCTCCCAAGGAGGGAGAGAAGGTCAAGCCGGAGGACGTCTTGATCACCTGCGCTTTCACCATGGTCTCTCTGGACCCGGTGACGAAGAAGTGAGCAAGCATCGACTTGGCATGCAATGACCTCATTTACTCATGTCCTACAGACCGGTTCCCGTTGCACCACTGCTGGTAGAAACGGAAGAGGAGCGCGCCCTCTTCAAGAAAGGAGAGGAAAACTACAAAGCAAAGAAGGCTTTGCGGAAAAGGAGCCTGCTGGAGCAGGCTCCGAATGATGAAGAGGCCCACCTGATCCACTCGATGTGGACGAGGGAGATGTCGTATCTGAGTTAGCTGCCTTTGAAAGCCTGGTCTTGTATTTGACAAAAGCTCTGACGATAGTGCAGACCCCAATTCTCCTGTCAAGAGGCCGTCAAATGTCGTCTACATGAACGATACGGTCCTGAAATCGGCAATGATCATGCAGCCGCAAGACCGCAACCGCCATAATTTCATGATCTTCGGCGGCTTCCTGCTGAAGCAGACGTTTGAGCTAGCATTTTGCTGTGCCGCGTCTTTCTCTCATAGCAGACCGACATTCGTCTCTCTGGATCCGAGCACCTTTGAGAATCCCGTCCCAGTCGGCAGCGTGCTCTATCTCAGGGCGATGGTATCATACACGGACCCTCCTCTCCTGGCGCAGCAGGAGGGAGAAGGAGAGACCAAGCGACCGTACACCAAAGTGCAAGTGCGCGTCGACTCCAAGGTCCGCGATGTCGAGCATGGAATGAAGAAGTCGACCGGCGTGTTCAACTATACCTTCCTCGTTCCGAAGGATATCCAGGTCATGCCGAAGAGTTATGGCGAGTTTATGGTCTGGATCGACGCCCGGCGACGGGCCATGAATATGGAGCCGATCGTGACGTCCAGGTTTACTGTGCATGATGGAGTGACGGAGTAGGCTGAATCTATACATTGTCGACATTGGATTCTATGCCAGACTCCTTGTTCTGATTGTCATTATTGTGTCTCTCTATTTATTGCAAACTTTTTAATTTGAAAATTCCTCCAATGTGTATATATGTAGTTATGTACTAGATATGTTAACCATGGATATTTCTGATGAGTATTGGATATCCCGCTAAGGGATCAACTCGCGAATTATTCTCAGGTAGAATCCATCAGTAGCGTTTTATTCTATTTCTTCTTTTTTTTTAAAAAATAAAAAAATTATTGTGGTTAAGACAGATATCTAAGTGTATAGTCATAGATCTTCATCACGTGACCACCTTGTTGATTGGCTGTCCGCTGCCCATCCATACAGTACAACTGCGTATTTAGCTGCGGGGATCAAATCCAATCTACCGCACGAACGACTATCAGGACTCTGACTCTTTCCCTGCACAGTGTAGGAGGCTGAAACCTTCAGTGATATTATCACTACCTATCTTATCTAGATATATATCTTGTCTGTCTTCACCGCCATGTCCCTCCCCAACGTGTGGCATCTCCGCCGCGTGGCGGACAACGCGGCCAAAGCATGTTTCGTCTGCTACAAGCCGTCGAGCAGTGTGTTGATCACGCCTGATAATAAAGTAAGGACTTACACTGAATATAAGAAAAAAAATCAATTTGTGATTGAGTAGTTAGCTAGAAAGACGAAGATAGAAATGACTTTTCTTTTTCACCAGTCATGTTGTATACTGACAAGGATTTTTTTTTCTTTAAAAGGACTTCTTCTACATCTGTCCGGTCCATCTCAAGGATCGCGGCTTCTGCTCGCCAATTGTCGATACAGAACAGGAGGCTGCGAAGAAGAAAGAGGAGGCTTTTGCCCGGGAGATTGAGAAGGTGAAGCAGGAGTATGAGGAGAAGCAGAGGAGGAAGAAAGAGAAGGAGAAAGAGAAAGAAAAAGAAAAGGAAAAGGACAAGACGAAAGAAGATAGCGGAGAAAAGGAGAAAGAGGATGATAGCAAGATTGCGGAGAAGGAAAAGAATGATAAGGTTTGTCGTCCTGTGTTGAAAAAAAAAGCGTAGTTAGCTAACTTGAGGACAACAGATTGAGGCGATCAAGAAGGCGGCTTCAGCAGGAGAATCCAAGCAGGATGATTCTCCCCGGATTTTTGCTCTACACAAGTACGTCATTCGTCTCGTCACTCGTTACTCGTCACCCACGCACGGCCTTACCTTGCAGTGAGGGTGGTCCGCCTTGCCTTGATATTATGCAGCTGACGAGAACAAAACACAGGACCTTCTACCAGATGCGTATCAACCGCTTACGCAGTCTGGAGATTTTGAAGAGGAATGCTGAGCGGTTAAGGGATCCGTCTGCCTTTCCTTCTGTGCCTAAGGGAGATCTGTAAAAAAAAAAAGTCACTTTCTCTCGAGATTTACACCGCATTCATGCACGGTTGCGATTACGATTACGATCCGATTAGGCTTCCCGTCGTGGGCATCTCGGCGGACAGATAGATCATCGCCAGCCACGGAGTCTTGACCAAGTGAGCCAGCTGGTCATAGCGTGCAGCGTGCAGCGTTTTTGTTCTTTGCCTAGCGACTGGCCGAGATACTCTTGGTGTTCGAGATCACACTGCAGTTGTCACCGGGGTTTTAAGAGCCGGGGCCCGAGTCGGCGTCAGAGCGTCTTACATGCGGGCGTCAGGAGTGAACTGGCAGTCTGCGGGGATCGAAAAGCGTCGATCTGTATGGATCTTACATGATTGCTACTCCGTACATGTTATGATGATTTCTTACAGAGTACGTCGTGGTCCACAGGTGACTTTACACGAATATACGAAGGACTTATTCCGCTGCTGCAGAAGCTGACTGCTCTTGCAGCCAGTCCAGGATGGCGTTGATCAATCAGCCTTATCGGGGAGGGAACGGCTGCCAATTCTTTGACTAGCGTGATGACACTGCAGATGTTCTTCATACGGATAGATGCATGCATAGTCCGTAACTATGCACTTACTTAAATATGACTGCAGGCTGTATGAACTATTACGCCAGCAGCGCTGCACAGGACCCCGAGTCTAGTCTTTCTGCATGTGGAAGGGCTTGTTGTGTCTGCCGACATCTGTCTGCAACTGCAAGTGAGCTTCCGCTATGGATGATGACTGCAGATGCAGACGCGGATGCAGATGCACCTCGCAGTGGTGAAAATTGGCCAATTCCCACAATTCCCACGAGTAACTGTTTGATGAAGCAATCCATGTTTTTTTTTCTCTCCGAGTACGGAATAGCGAGGACTGTCAGCTGAATGTCATTCTGCTGTACGGAGTACAGAACTAGCCTGCAGGAAGGACAATATTTGCCAACACCAACACTATTAGTAATAATACTAATAGTACAACTGACATTCAACCAATTTTTAATAATTTCCAGTGGCTCCCTAATTCCTTCAGGATCTGTTTGTGGTTGTTTATTCGTTTGTTTATATTTATATTTTTTTTCTTTTCGATCCCCACCCTGCTGATAATAAACACTAATCCCAAGATGACGATGGCTCCGTACGTATGTACTTACTGTACGGAGTAGGTAACTTTGCTTACTTGCTTATGGACTGGAATATGGAATATGTCTGAAGGAAGGAAGTTATTGCTGCTTCTGCGTATGCATTTGCATACTGCTATGCTGTACTGTACATTGTACTGTACAGGGTACATACACTGCCGTGTCCGTGACCGGATGATGAACGGTGCTTGCTGACCGTGCAGGTAGTTAGTCCTCGTCTGAGTTTCTTGTCTCTTGTCGCTCTTTCCAGTCTGGTCTAGTCTAGTCTGGTTTGGTCTCGTCTGACCTCATCTCATCTTATCTCATCTCGTATAATAGTCATACAGTCGTACAGTCGTACAGTAATACCATCAGCAGTCCTACTCTTGTATGTACATCCCTAGGAGCATGAGTTAATTATTAAAGCAATGCAGTCCTGTCCTGTCCAGACTGTCTCCTCGATATATTTAAATAAACGTAAGACAACCGGAAGGGAGAAAGTTTGATCTACTTTGTACTCCGTACATTATATAGCTATAGTTATATGATCGACCACCAAATGAAAATCAAAATAAGTAACTGGATGGAGAACAGACTAGTACAGAGTATGCGTCTTTCTGCAGAGATTAGCTGATTGAAGGTGAGTCTTGACTTGGGTAGAGTACATAACTACTACTTACTATAGACCGACCCATTATTACTCTATCGAACATTTCTCACTTCTTATTGCTGTTACTGCTGTTATTATTATTTATGATTGTTTATTTGTTTGCTATTACCTGGCATTTTGTTCCATGCAGGTTAGTGTAGTCAGCCGCAGTCAGCTGGCAGTCAGTCAGCAATAAAAATAAGCAGTAAGCAGTAAGCAATAGTCAGCAACCAACAAACAGTGCAACAATAAACACAGTAATAGGGAATTCCTGTATGTAGTGCTATAAAAGACTGCTGCTGACTACCTTCTATGTAGCTAATAATAGCATGGCACGCCTTGCTAGCTAGAATAAAGATGCATTGTATTCCTTGTAATATTATTTAATGGTTGACTGACTGCTAACTTACTTTCTTACTCCATACATACAGACAGGCAGGGTGTGACCAGGACGTGAACAGGATTAGAATGAGGATGAGAATCTGATTACAATAGTTATTATTATAAGTCAGTATCAATAATAAATATAATTAATTAGCTAAATGGATTAATTTAACACTGAACTGAGTGAGTTGTTTGCATATCACCCGTCTCATTGTCTTTTTTTTTGACAGTAAATAAATACAGCGAGTCGGCGACAATTACCTACTCAGTGTAATTAGTAAACTTAAATAATACTAAAATCTACTCTGCATGTAGTATGTACGGAGTACAGAGTATTAATTAATTAAATCGTAATCGATCGAATTCTTGAATTCTTGAATGAATTCTCCTTCTTGGACCCACCATTTACAGATAATGGAGTATTTCCGTCTGTCTGTTTGTCAGTCTACACCGCATGTCATCCTCAGTCCACATTATTTTTTTTCGAATCAAGTGACCTGTTAACACTAACCACACCACATCACATCTTGCACTCCTAGCATACTCCGTACATGATTCGTGAACAAGAAAAGAAAGAAAGAAAATAGGACTACATTAGTTAATTATCTCTAATTAATTTTTTTAAAGAAAGACTACATACATGTATGCAATATATACTCCGGAAATAATAATCGATCGATATCAATCTACATAATCTACACGCAGTATGAATTAGGTCTACGGAGTAATACTCCGTTGGTCTATTACCTAGGTACTCTGTACCTACTTACCTACCTACCTAGCTAGGAAGGTCACTCCGTTCTCCAGTACCATCTAATTACTCCATACTCCATACGTAGTTACGTACGTATGGAGACTGGAGAATACCTGTATGCTCAACCACACCGCCTAGAGCGGTCTGGAAAGGAAGACGACGACTACGAGCCGATACTAAGCTGAGTGCCGATCGGAGTACATACATACGTACGGAGTACTTAGGGTACAGAGTAATATTCCGTACATACTAATTGACAATTGCTGTCGATGATATATACCGTCTAATTAATGATTAATTAATTTGCTTAGCTGGCTGCTACCTCAACATTTAGTAACCTACCTACATGCCGTACGGAGTACTCCATACAGTGTGTACGGAGTACGTAGTACTATTACCTATCGTAAGTAAGATCGCTCTAGCTAGCTACCTACCTAGCTAGTAGTCTAGCTAGGCCTCAGGTCCCACTAGGCACTAGCTAGAGCTATCAATCAGGCTGTGCTCCATAATAATTTTCCGTAATGATTGCCATGAATCATATTCATGATTCATGATGCTATCTGTGACCTGCTGCTTTCTGACTAACAGGCGGTAGTCCCAGACGACAGGTCTGCTGGATGCTAGCTTGACAATAATAATTGCAATAAGCCTGGCTTCTTGAAAAGATGCATTTTGGTATAGGCGGTGTCTGGGTCAAGATTAGATCAGGTGATCATCTGCCGGGCAAGCCAATAGAGCAGCTTTCAGGAAGCCATCGAGCTGACGAGAATGGTCATGCTTATGGTAGCTGCGTCCTCCCAGAGGACTTCTGCATGAGTCTTGTGACTATATAACGAATCCTATCCTATATATCATAGGGTATCTGTCGTAACTCATCCACTGTACAGAATATGTACTTCAACCAGGTGGCACGCTAAAGATTGCCTTTTCCAGGCTCCGGTGCCTGAGCTGACCGCATATGAGGAGGTAACCGAATACCCATCGTCCCTAGACGCGCGTTAACGCTCCCCGCAGCCTTGCTCGCCGTCTTTTCGACAATGTCAACCTTGGCTCGCGCAACTCCCATCGCCGGCACCACCCATTTACCGCAACTGCACGGCATCCCTTGCCAGGCGAACTTTCCAACAACGGAGTCGCACTTGGGGTTGGGACATGTCAGACGCCCCGAAAGTGGTCCGTCTTCTTGGGAGTTCACTTCGGACAGCTCAGAGGCGTCCGCCGAAGTACTCGACGTTGAACCAGGATAGAGACAAGGACGCATCCAAGTCAAAGGTTGTAAAAAGATGTGGGCGCATTCAGATCCTGTTTGTTTCTTGGCCGCCTCCGTCTGCGAGTCTTTTTCATGTTCAATTATGAACGGGGCGGTAGCCAGCACGCGTCTGCACCAAGTCAGCATAGATCCATCTTAGTAAGAAAAAAAAACAGCCATGACTAACCGGCACTTGCGACATCTGATCTCCGTCGATTGCGCGTCGGAGTTTATCTCACTAGGTGATAGCTCGTCTTCAAATCGCACCATGTTAATTTCAGGGGCCCGTCCGCATGCAACACTATCTTCGATCTCGCGGTGAGAAAGCCAGCGTTGATACTGCGGATGCGAGGTGACATCATCGGGACAACCCATCTCATGGTACAGCGACAGCTGTTTCATGAAGCCCGGGTTCGGTTCGCACATTGGCCGCGCCTGGCGGATAAGGTCAAGAGCCGTCTGAGGCGTCAACGCGTTGGGCTGGCGGTGGAGAAGATAGGCAATGCAGACCGCTGCAGAACGGGACCTTCCCATGGCACTATTTCCGAGCTGTCAGCACAAGCAGCCTTACACTGTAGGCTTGTCACGTGTCTTGGTGGCAACGGCGATGCCAGAGCCTCCACTAGGAATGCGCAAGTCACATGATT